TATATATATATATATATATTTTTAAAATATATTTATTGATCACGATTTAAGATAAAGATTATTTCTTTTATAAAATATTTTATGCATAAGGATTTTATATTTATTATAACAGAATAATTCAGATTTAAAATTATATAAGGCTTATAAGATAAATTTTATTGTAAATTTAAAAGTAAACGTTTCTACTTAACCTATTAATACTGTTATTATTTATATCATTTTATTTCGTGCCAAGATTAAAACGAATACAAACAATATTTATTCATGACATGCGACGTGTTTTCATTCAAATAACATCCAAGCCCAGTTTCAAATCCTCGATCAAACCATAACACTACATTCTCGCCTTCCATCACGATCCTCAACGTCTCTTATTCACAATATTCTTCCTAAGTTTAGACAAGCGACTTTTCTCTCTCCCCGTTTCTCCTTCTGTTTCCTCCTGCTTTTGAATGGGTTAGATCTAACCGTTGACAGGACGCGAATAGGCGTGTTCCATGCACGAATAGTTCTTCCATTGACTTCTCTTTATTTATGAGCGTGCGTCTGGTTTCGCCCGTTGTGACATTACGATGAAATATTATCATACACATCGTGCCGCGTGGGCGGTTCGACGCGAATTCATACGAGGTTACGATCTTTTGACGTGTCCCATTTCGTTGCGACAGAAAGGACCTTCGATTCTCAGATGAGATAGAGAAATTTCTGTAAGGATGTGAGAAAGATCGTTATCTCACAATGTGATAATGATTCGTTTGGTTTTATGTTCTAATTTTTTTTTTTTTTTTTAATATTAATGGTTAGAACTTTTGTTAGGTGAGTAATTATTAAAGCCTCGAAACTTTGTTACGATGCCATTATTTGTCGAGGATAGTAGATTTCAAAAGTTTTTGTTAGATGAATCTTAACACTTTGCTTTGTTAGATGACACCAATTGGTTTTGTTGACGATGTGAGTTGGGTAATTAGATTTGAAAGTTAAGGATTAGGGTCAGAGTTTGAAATGAGTTTGAAGATATTTGATGATTCTAGAATTGGAAGAGAGATTTGAGATTAGATTGAAGTAAAAAGTTTTAAGATTTGAAATTGGATTTAATGGTACAATTAATTAAGGTTTTTGGAATTCATTCAAATTTGAATTAAAGTTTACTCCTTATAAGAAATTTAGAAAGATTAAAGAATAAATATTCTTCGTTACTTTTCCAAATTCGGTTTAAATATTTCAGAGCATCTTTTAGTAATCTCATAAACTCTAAATTAACACGTCTCACTGTCTCAACAATCAAAAGATTCATCAGTTCAGATATCTATTGTTACGTTTAATCTCTTAAAGAATAGCATTATAATACGTTAATTAAAAAAGATGTTAAGATTCAAACGTTTAAAAATGCTATTCAATTTTTTGCCATTTCTTCCAATCATACGACAGATCATCTTTCACCCATATCGAAGACTTTCTACAATTTTTTTTTAACATAATAAAACCTGTCAGTTATCAAACCACGGCAGTTTAACTCGTAAGAACTCATTGTGCATAAAATTTCCCAATGGTAGCGATGGGTTCAAACAAAATATTCATTTTCAAATACTATTTTAAATATACGAAATATATTTAAAATAGCAATTACCATTTCAAAAAAAAATTTACTTATATAATACCATTAATAAACAAATATATTTATAATATAAAATTCATATCATTAATATAAAATAAATGAATACGACATATTTACACTCGGTTTAAACATATAAATACATTTTTAACTTAATCAAATTTCCCCAATTCTCCATAGAAATAAGCAATAAGTCCAACACTTGTACACTCATCTTAAATACTCACATTCAACTCGATCCCATCACTATCTACCGCTCAATCCCCAAATCCACGATTCGATCATCATCCAAGAGAATCCAATCCATAGAATTCGACCAGGTGGCCAAAACTCTCTCTCTCTCTCTCTCTCTCTCTCCTCCACCATGAACAAACCTCTGAATACGTCCACTCTGAAAACGGTCGGCTTTCATCAGAAAGCCTTCCTTGTTCGCGGCATCCCGTTATCAATGGACGAATCGCTGAAACTTGACAGTGATTTATCGATATGACCCCACGACGGCGGTCTCGGGTCACGGAAATTACGCGCGGAAGATCCCTTCCTTGCCGATCGAAAACTCGGGAGAGGAGAGTCTCTCCTCGCTCGATACCCTTGCTAAATCAACCGCGGCCGGCCATTACAACGGGTCGGCCGGGCTTTATTTCAACGTCATTGCGAATTTTCAACGTTCGATCGGCTCGTTAGCTTGACAAATTGCAGCGCCTCCTGATTAGCGGGGAGCAAATGATTTATCGCTTGGCCCATGTGGAATAGAGCTTTTGGCCGATAGACGATCTCCAGCCGATTGGGGATCTCGTTCGTTGATCGGGGATTAAGAATAGAGATGGTATTGGATGAAGAGAAGACGAGAAAGGAGGATGGAAGGTGATGGAAGATTTGGAAGATTTGATCGGTGTAAGTGAAATTTTTTATACAGAAAGTAGTATTATTGCAATATAGAGAGTTTGCAGGAAGGGAAATCTCGCGTGACAGATAAGTTTCACTTATCAGAGGTTGAGAAATTTAGATTTCATGTGTTTTAAATGTACATAGAAGGGATAGTTTGTATATTTACCAAAAATTATCGAGATAACGTGTACTTTATAAAACATTGAAGTATCCATTAAATAACGTGTCCTTTTTAAAATGCAACGTGAAAAAATCGAATAAAAGAATGCCAATATATCTCCAAAACGAATGAATCTCCTTCTTTCTTTTCTTTTTTTTTTTCAGCAACGTGCAAGAAATCCTTCGACAATTCCATACACGAAAAACAGAAGAAATCGTCCCCGACAAAAGATACAGAAGCACCGAACCATTCAGGAAGCCAGTAACCACACTCCGTCCAATTACCACTGGATAACTCGTTGGTAGCCCCATCCTGATTTATCACCGACATGGTTAATCGCATCTCGCCGTGGAGGCCCAATTAAAACGACCAAACAAACCGATTAAAAAAAGAAAAAAGAAAAAAAAGGGACGAAAAGGGGAAGGGGAGGGAAAAAGAAGGCAGCAATCGAAGAAACAAACATCCACGCGATACAAGGTGTTGATATTGGAACATCTTTGGAGAGTCGATTATTAAGGCAAACGCAAAAGTTTGTGGTTAAATCATAAGTAATTGAAATTTGTATGAAATAAAGATAGAATAAAATAAATAAATAAATAATTTACTAATATATTGAATTTTAATTCTGCACAAGGAAACATTCAATTATTTATAGATAAAATAATATTTAATTTATCCATCTTCAAGTTTCAAAATATGTAGTTTACCGAAGTTTACATTTCCTCGTTCCATTGATTCGCATGAAAAACCAAAAAAACAGAAATAAATCTCGTTCGTCAAATGTATCCAAACACTTTCGAGCCAATCGAACAACGTATTCCGTTTAAATTATCGTTCAATTGTTCCCTCTCCCCGAAAATTCCAAACGGCATCACGCCCTCCTCGTATATATCCACCCGTATATACCGTGTATACGTAAAAGCTCCACCGCAGTACTTTCGACAGAAAGTGGCCGAGCATCATCAACTTTCTCGTGAAATTCACGGTTACCCTTTTCGCGCTTAGTAGGACAAAATATATCAACGGGAGGCTAAGAACGGCACGAATCGTCGGTGTACGCCCCTGGTCATCTGGACACCTCCTCTGCCAGGGCCTCGTTTCGCCGTCGAGAGACGGATAGAGAGAGGTAAACATGGTCGATCTCTCTCTATCCTTGGTTAAGTAGGTCTTGGGAGCGAAGGAAGCGACGAAGGATGAAGAAGGATGGTCGGTGAGAGGGAAGAGATCGGCAAAAAGGACAAGAACCGGGCCGAGTAAAAATCTTGGAAACGTATGTGAGCTGTTTGTCGGAGAGAGAGGGAGGGAGAGAGAGAGGGAATGTGCCCTCTCCTGCGGGCGCTTCTTCTTCGTCGAACCGTGACCAATAACTATCGCAATCGTCCTGAGATTAACAAGCTCTCCGTGGATGCTTGTCGAGATTATTGGTGCCTGTGTGCTCTCCAACTGTCGAGGAATCGATTTAAGGACGAAAGAAAGGAAATGAACGTGTGGATATGCGTGGTTTTGATTTGGTTGGTAGAAACGA